CGCCATGACGGTGCGGGAGGCCCAGGACAGCCCGCTCTTCGCCAACCGCCGCTTGCAGCGTATCCTTCGGGCCGGTGCCCCTTCCGTCCGTCCCCGGTGTCCCCCCTGTTCCCTCCCTTCTGGTCCGTGAGTGCCTCCTTAACTCTCGCCCAGGGAAGCTCCCGCTGGAGTCCATCCAGGTGGTGCTGGAGGAGCTGCGCAAGAACGGTGGGTGCTGTCCGTGTGTCCGTCCGTCCGTGTGTCTGTCCATCCTACCCATTGCCAGCGGGGCAGGGAGAGCATGAACCATGGGGCAGGCTCTGTCCCACTGCTGATAACCAGACAGGGGGCTTGCCCAGCCCATCCCAGGCCCTTCACTGTCTGTGGCTCCTTGGTGCCCCCCACACCCCAAGCCAGAGCGCCTCTGGGGCAGGTTGAGAGGGCGCTCAAAGATAAATTAACCTCCCTACACATAGAGATGCTCAGAAAGCTGTCACGAGCTGTGGCATGGTGGGCAGGGGCAGCAGCAGGTGGGCGTAACGTCCAACACGTCACAAAATCTGCAGGTTTGATCATGACTATAGGCGTGTGCTCTGGTTAAATATCTTTTCCCTGTTGATTTTAGGGAACCTGGAGTGGCTGGATAAGAACAAAACCAGTTTTCTGATCATGTGGAGGAGGCCAGAAGAATGGGGGAAGCTCATCTACCAGTGGGTGAGAGCACAGAGTCTGTCCCGCTGCCCGGGCTGTGTCTAGAGGATGGGGGATATTGGCTGCCGCTGGTGAAAAAGATCATTGTAATGTTGTTTTTTCACTTCCTTGTGGCTTTTACCTTTCTTCTTTAATTCTTCTCTGTTGCAGAGGAGAATAGAGACATTAGTGTCGTTTCACCTGCTGTGAGATGCCGCTTGGGCAGCGCAGTTGTCCGCTCCCGCTGCACTCAGCCGTTCCGTAGCGAGGATGGCGCAGAGCTGCTGCGTGGCATTTGCACAGCACGAGTCCTTACTGTGAAACGCGGCAGAGAGAGCCACGGGGCAGGGAAGGAGCTGTCTTGATCTCCTTAGGCATCATCATTGACTCTGCAGTGCCCCAGGGCATTTCCAGGGTGGTTTTGCTCATCGAGTGCCGTCCGTACTCCCATCTTGCTTCCACTGAGACGCACAAGAGGTCGTGCCAAGGACGTTAAATCACGCGGACAAGATTTGCGACGTTGCTTTTATGTTTGCAGGTGTCGAAGAACGGCTTGACCAACTCTGTATTCACGCTGTACGAGTTGGCCAGTGGAGACGATACGGAGAACGAAGGTAACGTCGTGTGCAGTGTTCTGGAGCAGGTTTTCAGAGCACGCTTGATTTGAGACTGTAAACAGTTGATTATCAGGTTATAGTTTTGTACATTAAATATGTTAAAATTGCTGACGCAGGCTCACAGCGATCACCACTGGCAAATGCCCTCGAAGGCTTTTCTACCACTTCGTGAACGTCTGCCTTTGTTATCGCTGTTTGCATTTTAAGCCTCCCCTTGCCCCACAGCCCTCCCCAGTGCCCAGCTCTTATCTGGTGCGGGGTGCGGGTGTTTTGGGTTTATGCCGAGCTTTGAGACCGCTGTGACTCACTCCCCTCTGTCTGCGACCTTCAGGCTTTGTTCCTGATGCAGCAGCGTGGTGATGAGTCTGCGTAGCCATTACTCTGGATTTGCCGTGGTGTTACGGCACTGGAGCCTGAAATATCCCCAGAGCCCCTACTCCACTGCTGCCAGCCCTGCACTCTGTTTCCTGATATGATTTTTTTTTATTAATTATTATTTTCCTGTTGATGGGGTCTATGTCCTTCCCTAGAGTTCCACGGCTTGGACGAGCCCATGCTGCTGCGCGCCCTGCAAGCCCTGCAGCAGGAGCACAAGGCTGAGATTATCACGCTGGACGACGGCCGTGGCGTCAAGTTCTTCTGATCGGAGCCCCCTCCCTCCGTCCCCAGCTGCTGGCACGGTCCCCGCCGCGTGGGTTCGCTCCCCTGGCCTCACTTCAAGCCGTGACCGCCAGCAGTTGCGCACTCGAGGTTTCCTGAGGCCAGGAGAATCTGCGGCGCACTCCAGAGATGGGACTGCTCAGAAACACCCAGAGATCTCTGCCTCCTCCCTGCTGATTGTGCTGGAGAGGCTGGGGCTGCTCTGGGCAGTTCTGAGAGACCGCCCAGGAGGGAAATAACGGGGCTGCTCTTGCTGGGCCCGTTCCCTTGCAGTGTCTCCCCGGTCCAGCTTGGCCTCAAGGGTGGCTCCTTCTCCCCTGCAGCCCCGTGCTCGGCTCTGCCATCACTGCTGGACACGATGAACTCGCTGTCGCTGCCATGCAGCCCCTGGCAGCAGGATGGTGCTGTGTGCTCGACGCAGAGCGGGCTGTGCAGCGGGGTGGGGTGGCTGCCAAGGAGCTAATTTGGAGTAATTAAAACGAGATGTATTTATAGAGCAGCCTGGGTGTTTTCATCTCTCTCTCTTTTTCCATCAGAAACACAACAGCAGCACACCAGATTCCTGCCCTACAGCCGTGTTTCCGTGCAGCGCCAGATGAACGCAGCAGTGGGCTTGGGGTTTGGCTCGGTTTGCAGCCAGGGAGGGCTCCGCAGGAATCGTCTGATGCTGGAGTCTGCCCTGGACTTGTTTTGGGGCCCAAGAGCTGCCTCTGCACCGACCTCCTCCCTCTTGGGGTGCTGAGCCCTCCCATCTCGCTGTCCCCTGCAGTGGCCGTTCTGCACTGGATCCCGAGCACAGGGAGGGCCTTTCCCAGCCAGGCCTGGGTGTTCGTGTTTCTCACTCCCTGTGTGCAATGCTGACCTCTCGGCGCTGTGTTCTGAGTCTGGTGTGCTGTAACCTGGCTGTCCTTGAGTGAGTCTGTGTTCTTAATTAAATTTGCTCCCTTCTGAGGAAATGGCTGATGTGACATTAGATAAGCCGAAAACTAGCCTTTTTCTTTCCAATGCACTTCTGGCAGCGATTCACCGCTCCTTTTCAGCTTCCTACTTGGCTGCTTACTTGGTGAGAGGAGGAGGAAGAGTACATTCCCCCCATCAGAATGAACATGGGATAAAACCCCTTTTTCCTTGATGAGTTATGAAATATCACACCTGGCCGTGCCTGCAAGGTCCCCGCTCCCTGAGCCGGGCACCACAGCAGCGAGGGGCTCCTGAACACTGCCATAGGATGGGTCCTGGGGAGCTGGTGCTGCTGCCCTGGAGGGGCTGATGCTCCCTGGCTGTGCCCTCTGCGGGGACGGGATGATTTGTATCTGGGAGTGATGGACGCTCCTCCAGTGGATGAAAGAGAGCCTGGTAATTGTCCTCTGAGACCAGTGTGTCTTTATCCAGTGCTTTGCAGCCTCTGATGATGCAATCTCGGGTTTGGGGCAGGAGAGCTAGCCTGGCTGACGCTGCCTGGATGCTGCGTGAGGCCGCTCTGGTCCAGGAGTTCCCAGATGCAGGTTAGGGATGGAGGAGAATTGGACTGCACCGAGGGCGAGTGTGTCTGCCTCCAGCCTCACCATTCCCTGAGCGGGCACAGTCCTGGTGCTGCGGGGTGAAGTGGGGGCAGGGGAGGTTGGGGAGGGCTGTGTTTGTGCAGGGGCAGGGCTGAAGCCTGGCTCCTTACCTGCGCAGGGACCACTGGCTCCATATCGCTGCAGTGAGGTCAATCCCTTTCCACGGGGTTTGGCCCTGAGGAGTTCAAAGCCCAGACCCCAACCTCTCTGTGCTCCCAGGCTGTCATCACGGGCACAGTTCAGGCTCTGGAGCCTGGAGGAGCTTTCAGCTTGGACAGCATCTCTGTGGAGAGGCTCCTGGGAGGGATGGGGGTGTCTCTGGGGGTGCTGGTGCAGTCCCTGCCTCTGGCCCATGGCTACTCTGAGGCCGTTGCCGTGTCTGGCCATGGTGATTAGGGCTCGGTGGCCAGGGCGAGGCTGGGCTGGGGGGCTGGTGCCGAGATAAGGCGCTATCGGGACGTGCACACCCGGGTCCCGCTGGCCAGGAACGGGTGGACGCCAAGAGGGTTTTGTTTAATGCAGCTTATTAGGAGCAGGAATTGTTGCAATTTGATAAATTTATATGTTGGGATAAACTCGCAGACGGGTGACATCTGTGAGTCTGGGCTAAGGAAATCCTCCGGAGTTATCTGCCTGGGGTTAAAGCCACAGCTGAGGTTTGGACGACATCTCCTCCCCCTGAACTCATGTTTGGGCAAGGAGGGACACTGCAGGAGGGGGCTGGGAGCCTGAGCTGGAGCTGGTGCTGGAGCCAGCCATGGCTCAAGCTCTGCGTCGCTGCAGAGCCTCCTCTGCTCCCACCCTTCCCTGGCTTCACGCCCCATTTCTTGCACACCCCTCATCTGTGGGGAACGCCGCATTTGGACCCGTCCTGGCCTCGCCAGGATCCCGCCCCGAGCTCCGGGCTCAGAACAGACAATTCCTGGCAGGGCTCGTTGGAGTAAGGAGCTGAGCAGGGATTTGATTCATGATCTAATCCTGAGGAGGGCGATTACACAGTCCCCTGTTCTCGTCCTGGCAGCCAAACGTGAGTGAGAAATGGGCTGCGTTGCCTGATTGCAGCGGTTCCTCAAAGCAAAGGGCTGGCGCTGGCCCTGCACTCAGAAATGTCACCCTGATAACGGGGAGCTGTGGGCACCACCGGAGCCTGGTGACAGGACCTGACTGCGGGACAGGAGCCCTTGGGTGCTGGGCCAAACTGCTGCAGGCTGGCATCCTGGGCTGGGTCTGAGGAGACCTGCACCTCCACCTGAGCTACCTCCCCCTGCCCGAGCTGCCCTCCCTCCCAAGCTCGCCATGCAGATGGCATTTGGGGGGGTGGTTGGGGAACACCTCGGGCTGTTGCTCAGGCAGGTGTGGGAGGTCAGCAGCCAGAGCAAACTTCACCCCTAATTTCGTCTCCTGTCTGCAGGGGCCTCACAAGGACTGGGATGCTCCTCTGCTCCTCTGGGATCTTCCAAGGCATCTCGTTTCATGATGAAAACACTTGATAACATGACATGAGGCTACCAGAGACCAAGCCGCAATCCCTGCCCGTCCCTCGCCAAAGAGCTGAGGCTCTCTGCCAACCAGGGCTGTGTCCCTGTGCCTGGCAGTGTGGGGCCCCTGGAAGGGACCCCTGGCTGGGGGTGGCTGCAGAGCCAGCACACGGGGGCTCGGGCAGTGTTTCAGGAGCCTGGCTGCTGCTCAGACCTGCGTGGGTTCAGTTTCCCTGCCCAGTTCGGGTCTGCCTACCCTCAAACCCTGTCAAGGTGGCGCTGGGTCCATCCTGCAGCTGCCATGTGGATGAGCAAGGAGCTGGGACTGGGCCCCATGCGTGGTCTGGGGGCACAGGGCTGGGTGAGGACGTGGCCACCACACTCTGCTCACCGGCCCTTGCTGCGAGTGAGGGGCTCTGGGCAAGGAGCTGTCAGTCAAAGCCCTTCCTGGGGAGGTGGCACCGGACCCCTCTGGTGAGCAGGGTAGCAGAGCCCACGGGTGTGGGAGTTCGGCTCTGCGTCCCTTGGCTTCACCAGGACTTCTGTAGGGATGACATTTCATTAAATGCTGCTCCCTGGGGACGGGGGTTCGTGGGGCTGTGGCTGTGCTGGACGTGGCCTGCGCTGTGCTGTGTGGGACACAGCAGCCCCGCGTCACCCAGTGTCACCCGCGTGTGCCAGGTTGGTGTTTGGGGAGGACGTGGCGGTGCTCCCGTGCTCATCCTCTCCTCATTGTTTCCGGTATCGTTGAGTAGAAACAACCTGACCCTAGGGAAAATAAATTAGCGCCGTCCTCAATTGCTTTGTGTTTTGTGTAAACAGCCTTGGGGTGGAACAGGCTCCCCGTTCACCTCGGACAGACAAACAGCCCCTGTCCGTGCTGACTCCGCGTTTGTGGCTTCCGTGGCACTCACGTCGGGATTTCGGACCGCGGTGACCCCGGGGAGGGACGGCCATGCAGCGCAGGGGCTGACGCCGAAATGGGGACGGGACGAAGACTCTGGGCTCTCTGCCCCCACCCCGAATCAGAAACCTCGGCGCCTTCCGACAGCTCGAACCGGCTGCACCCTCAGCTCGGGGCTGTGGCGGCCCCAGGGCATGGAGACCCCTG